GCGGGGTGCGGCGTCGGGGTGGCAGGGCGGTGGCCGGGGGTCGGGTCCGGAGGTTGGGGCTGGGGGTCGGGGCCGAGCTGTCGGGGCCGGGGATTAGGGTTTGCGGGGTCTCGGGCCCGTTGGCGGGGTGTGGGGTGTGGGGTGCGGTGCCTGGTTTACTGGTTGCGGGGTGCGTGGCTGCGGGGGCCGGGCCCTGTCGGCACTGCCGGGGTGCATGGCCCAGTGGGGGTGGGGGGCCCTGGGGGGCCTGGGGGCACTGGGCAGTGGGCGCCCTGGGGGAATGGTGGACGCCGGACGCACCACCCAGCCCGGCAGATCACGACTCACAAGGCGGGATGTGTTGGCGAGGTCAAACGGCGGGATCATGTGGGGGAGGGACCGCGGTGTCGGGTGCGTTGCTTGGGTAACGGGGCGGGGTGCGTGGCACTGCCTGCCACCTAGTGGGCGAGGCGCCGAGGTCACTCAGCCTGACTCATGTGACGGGGCGTGATTGGGGGTACCGAGGGGGGGGGCGGCCCTCGCGCGTGGTGGGGGGCCCTGGAAGCCTTGGGGGCACTGGGCAGTGGGCGCCCTGCGGGAATGGTGGACGGACCCGCCAGCTGCAGGCAGGTCTTTTGTTTTGTAGCTTTATCGAAATTATCGGTGACCTTTTCTCTTCATTGGCCATTCTACTACAGTAACTCCACACACCTTCGAAATAGATCTACATTTAACAACCGGAAATATCCCCACTTCAACTATCCACGTCGATTTTTCAAGAGGCCTAAGGGAGAAGCATTTCAGTCTTTTTGAGGGGTTGGTTCAATTTGGTTGAGGCGGAAAATTTCAATGGATGAAAAAAAATGCAAGAAAACACACACACCGCGGGCAACCTGCCAACCGCTTGACAGTACATTTTGAAGAATGCGAAAATTTCAAGATTCGAAATAAATTTCAGTCTTCGAAGACAAATCGAACTGCCGAGGGTGGAAAAAAAAAATAAAAATAAAAAATATTACACCTGTCTCTTATACACATCTAGATGTGTATAAGAGACAGAGGGACCGGGGTGTCGGGTGCGGTGCGTCACGAAAAACATTGTACCATCTGAATAGATATACAACCTTAGACAATACTCCCAAGACCTGTCTCTTATACACATCTAGATGTGTATAAGAGACAGCTATACTCCCAAGACTCCCAAGAGTTCGAACAAGTGGGAACAACTTGAACCAATCACAATAAGATACCTGCGAGGCTACGAGGCTACGAGGATGCGAGGCTGCGAGGGCAACAAAATAAAAGTACAACAAGTGAAGCAATTTTCAAACGGTCTCTGCTTGCCCGGCTATAGGCTCTCATGCTACGGGCCTAGGCCATATCGCCTCCCGTCCTAGTGATAGCCCGGGTCTGCTTCTCGAACAACACAGCCAGCGCAAGTATCCGATAAATCTTTCTCTCTCTCTCAGACAATACTCCCAAGACTCTCAAGAGTTCGAACAAGTGGGAACAACCAATCACAATAAGATACCTAGGAGGTTACGAGGCTACGAGGCTGTGAAGATGCGAGGCTGCGAGGGTAACAAAATAAAAGTACAACAAGCTGAAGTGAAGCAATTTTCTAACGGCCTCTGTCTGCCCAGCTATAGGCTCTCATGCTACGGGCCTAGGCCATATCGCCTTCCGTCCTAGTGATAGCCCGGGCCTGCTTCTCGAACAACGCAACCACCGCAAGTATCTGATAAATTTCTCTCTCTCTCAGACAATACTCCCAAAACTCCCAAGAGTTCGAACGAGTGGCAACAACCAATCACAATAAGATACCTACGAGGCTACGAGGCTACGAGGCTACGAGACTGCGAAGATACGAGGCTGCGCGGGTAACAAAATAAAAGTACAACAAGCTGAAGTGAAGCAATTTTCTAACGGTCTCTGCCTGCCCGGCTATAGGCTCTCATGCTATGGGCCTAGGCCATATGGCCTCCCATCCTAGTGATAACCCGGACCTGCTTCTCGAACAACGCAGCCAGTGCAAGTATCTGATAAATCTCTCTCTCTCAGACAATACTCCCAAGACTCCCAAGAGTTCGAACAAGTGGCAACAACCAATCACAATAAGATACCTACGAGGCTACGAGGCTGCGAAGATGCGAGGCTGCGAGGGTACCAAATAAAAGTACAACAAGCTGAAGTGAAGCAATTTTCTAACGGCCTTTGCCTGCCCGGCTATAGGCTCTCATGTTACGGGCCTAGGCCATCCCGTCTTAGTGATAGCCCGGGCCTGCTTCTCGAACAATGCAGCCAGCGCAGGTGTCTGATAAATCTCTCTCTCTCTCTCTCTCTCTCTCTCTCTGTATATATATATATATATATATATATATATATATATTCCTTCCTCTCTCCCTGTCTCTGAGTCTCCGTCTCTTCGCGGCCAAGCGATAACCCGTACATCTGTTGAAGAGTTACCTCCATTTTGCGCAGCAACTGCTGCGCCTGAGCTCGCCGATCTATGGGGGTAGGAATCATCGCCGATGGTGTGCCCTGTGCTCGCTGCCCTTGCGGCCCGAGTCGTGTCCTCTGTCTTACTCATTGCCCTCCTCCATCATCTCCTTCCGCCGCCCGTGGTCTGGGTACGTAATCGGAATCCCTTGCATCATCAGTGCCTGTGGTCTCTCCCGGGGCGACATCCGTGCTGTCGTCGTGGATGATAAGTACACTTCCGCGTCTCTTCTAACCTGCCACTGCATCCCCTGTGCCCTCCCTGCCGGCGATATCCGTCGTCGTTGCATCCTTCCCTCCAACATCCAATGCGTCGCCGTCAGGTGCAATTTCTCCGTCCTCGAGATGCACAACGCCCGATCCTCTCTCTCGGGAACGCATATGTGAGGACGAACGTGACGCCTTCCTTGTCGAGGCCTTCTTCCTTGCCCGAGAAAGACTCGCCTTCGCCACTCTCGTAGCGTGGACATCAGACGTCTTTGTCGGCAAAGTACTCCCGTGTCGGTCCTCAAACTCTGCCATGGCGGTGTGTCGAGCTCCATCGACACTCCCAATGGATCGTGTCCCCATAGACGGTGCAGATGGCCTGCCATTGTTCCGGACTCCCTGCTCATCCATCCCCCCAGTACTCTTCCCGCTGGCATAGAATGCCACTGTCGGCAAAACAGTAGCTCTGTCGTGCCGTGCTGTCGGCGATGACCCAACCACAGGCTGTTTTGTCGCGTCAAAAGTGTGTGCGACGGGGACGCCCGCATCTGCGCCGACAGCTGCGACAATCGGATGATGCTCTGAGTTTGATGGCGGACCTGGGGGTCTTGCTTCGCTTTCGACTGCGTCAACTGGCCCACCTGGAGACCCTTCCTCTGCGCCGTCAAACGAATGAGAAAGACTGCGTTGTGCGATGCTGCGCTAACCGTCGTTGCGGTGTCGCGTCGCCGTCTCCGCCAAATCAAGGGTCACCTCGCGTGGTTTGCCAACACGAAAAATCGTGGGCGTGGCAAACACCTTTGGGCTCATAAGCATACCAGCGATATCGCTTCCTACCTCATCAAACCCGTCTGGTCCACGCTCCATGACGATAGGCTGTTGTGGCTTGGGCGGTGACACGTGGGGTAGACCTGGGGATATGAACGTCGACAAGTCCGATAGAGAAACGAGCGTAGAGTCCATGATCGGTGGGGCATGTGAGGCCGACATGGCCTGCGGCGCTCTGCTTGGCTGCGGGAGAATGTGAGATCTCATGTTTCGGGAGATCGTCGCCTAGACACACAACAACGGTCCCCTGACTCCCCTCCATCAATGCAGGCGGTGGCCGCGGTTGAACACTGCGAGGTGGGAGCATATTTTCTTGCTCCGCCGCTGCCAGTGGCTGTCCCACATCCGAGGTCGCTGCAACTGAGACTGCCGCTCCGGCAGACGTGAGTGGATGCAGTGCACCGGCAGAACCCTCGTCCCGCACTACCGGGAGAGGACCGATCTCTCCTTGAACCTCGGGATGATGCATCAACGGTGTTGGGCCCTGTTGCGATTCTAGGACTGCTGCGGAGGGCCCCATCGGAGCTGTCGCGTGCATACTCGAAGTGTCACCTCGTGGATGACCGTTCCCGCCATGCAGCTCAATCCGCTCCTCGCCGCTGTGATCGCTGAAAGAGTCCTCGAAAACTGGAATCTGCTCAGTTGCGGGGACTTGTGCTCGTGAAATGCTAGCAACCCCACCATGACGTTTGCGCACACTTGAAACGATAGTGTCTCTTTTCCTTGGTCCGCGTTTCAAGCGCCTCAGGTCACTGTCCGGGACAGGTCGTGAACCATCATCATCCACTCCATCTCGAGCGTCATCTACTGTTGTGCGGTGCTCACCCCCTGCCCCGTCGTCGCGCATCGTGTCACCGTGTGCAGGTCTCAAGGCCCCTGCACTGTTCTGTGCATCAGCGTCATCATCAGCACGACAATGTCCCGCTCCCTCGTCCGGCCCCTTGTCATTGTCTCTCTGGGTTGAGCAGGGTCGTGGCCTATCTTTTCCGTCACTGTGATCATCGCCACTGGCGCGGCGGCGTCATCGTCGTCGTCTACGTCCGGGTGATAGTCGTCGAAATCGCTGTCGCCATCATGTGCAGGCCTGCCAGTCCCGAAGAAATCCTCGTCATCGCTGGACGAGCTCTCGTACAAAAAGTCTCCCTCATCCCATCGCTGTCGAGGCTTGCGTACTAGCTCGTCCGTTGCCCTTCCACGACTCGCGACACTACACCTCCCACCAGGACCTCCACGCCCGCCTCGCCCACGACCGCCCCGACGACCACCTCCGCGACCGCCGCTACGACACCTCCTCGTGTCACACTCCCGCAAGCAACAAGTGGCTCCCATGCGGGACACGGCGCGCATTCTCTCTCTCGCAGGCGTCAACTCCTCCTTCGTCACTGTCACATGGGCTCCTCGGTCTGCGACAAGCTGCTGGTCGGTGGGCACCTCCTCCTCAACCTGCTGCCAGTAGTGCACCTAGCTCCCATACGGATATGGCCTGTCATTAGGAGCATTGTCCGACATAGGCTGCCTGTCGAGGAGCCGAAGGTTCCAGTGGCATCACACGAGCTTCTCGGCCCGTGCCACCTCCAATCTGTTACGGGATTTGAAATGGATGAAGCTCCAGCGGGGCCAAGCTCTCTCGCAAGGCGACGCAGTCGCCTACACACGCTGTATCCTGCCAGCGAAGACGGTCGTGTGAGGGTACCTCTTCTCCTTCGACTCCCCAAAACAGGCTGGATGGGTATAGCTCATCGCCGCCTGTTCCATGGCCACGGCTCCCTGGAATGAAACTTGTCAAGGGCAGTGAGGACCTCGCTGTGCTGATCCGAATGTTCCGGGTACCAAACTGAATTAGAGCGAGTTTCAAACCGTGCTGCATCTCCTCATCGTCTGGCATCGTGTGGTCTCGAAACTCGGGGTCCAACATCATGGCAGCAACATGAGCAGGCGACTTGAACATGGTGCGGCGTCTGTCAAACACTTCAAGCAGCGCGTCCTGCTCGTCCACCTCCAAAGCGGCACATGCAGACGAACAACGCACGATCATCTCGTCGTACCGACGCAAAATCTTGTCAATCTGCCTCGTGTCGCTCTCCACCATCTGCAGCATGTCCATGATGGGATCCAACAACTTGTACAGAGCTCTCAAATCCTCCCACCACTAAGGACAACCGACACATGCTATCATCTCTGTGGCGGCGTCTTGAATCTTCTTCGTCGACCAAACAGTGTCCTTCCATCGATCATCAACGACCACCTCCATGAGATGCGATTGCAGTACAGATGCGATTGCAGTAGAAGAAATCATCGCATCATAATCACATGCGTACCGAAGCGAGTCTCGGCGGGAAGCAGCAGTGTCTTCATCGTGAAAGCTTGCAAAACTTCACGAGCATGACTATGACGCTTGAAAACCTTTGTGACCAAACGCGCCTGAGCAATGCGGGTCGCCACCCACTCAATGCCGCCAATGTCCTCAAGGATAAGGTCCATGACGTGCGCCACATAAGGAATCCAGAAGATGTGCTTGACACTCTCATCCTTATGGAACACCTTCATCGCAGAAACATTCGAACTGACCGAGTTCGTGACAAAAGCGGTGATGTCTGCGAGCTTTATGTCTAGTGACTTCAACCTTCGCAGCCAAGCCTGCGCCAGAGCAGTGGCATCCTTCTTTCCTCGCATAACATCTGTCGCGATGTATGTGGCGCCCCTTGTGGTCCCGACGAGATAGTTGCACAATGTCTGACCCCGAATGTTCGTCCAACCGTCTGTCATTATCGTGCAACCGTAGGTAGCTGCAGTAGCGAGGACAGGTTTCACACACTTTTGGACTTCCGCATCAAGCTCATCCAAAAATGTGGTACGGATCATGTGATACGTCGGGGGTTTTGGGGTGGGCACTCCGGGAACCTCAGGCGGGATGATCAACGTCAACATGTGTTCGAAGCTCTCGAGCTTCACACAGTTGAACGGCATGCCACTCTCGACAATGAATCGCATGATCTGCAAGTGCCATGCGTGCTCCAGTGGGTCGTTATAATACGAGGTCACCGATTGCTGCCTGTAAGTGCCCCTCGCTCGTACACCGGCACCGCAACCTAGCGAATCCCACACCCGTCCGCTGGCTGCAGGTGATGCAGCGGGGATTGGACTAGGAGTTGCAATAGTGCGCAAATTTTGCAAAGGATCCAATGTCCCGAAAACACCGTGTTGCGAGGCTGGGTCGGTCGCGGGCGCAGGAGTGGGAGACGGATCCGAAACCTGAACGGGCTCATCGAGTGGGACGTCGCCCACCCCCTCAGGGACCGTTGTAGCGGTACCACCTTAAGGTGCTGAAGGCAGGTCTGGTGTAGGGGCGGCAACCATAGATACGCAGATGATTGATGTCCTGTTGCGGGTGGTCCTGCCACGGACGCACGTGCGGCTGTGCGCCCAACTCTTGCAACCTTGTCCCTGTTCCCTGTAAACACCGGGGGGAGGTGTGATGATGTGCCTGCGTCCTTCCCCCAGTTGCAGCCCTCGACAAAAGCATGAGTCTTTTGCTCATCAAACGACACAGGTTCCCCGCAACATGAAACTGGCACGTTGCCTTGCGCATCAGGCTGCGTTGTCGAGCGCATCGGTCCGGCACCGCACCAGGCCAGCGCGGGACCCTCCTGGTCCCGTCACGCAGGAGTTGGTTTAAATCCTTCGTCGCAAATTATACATGTGGAGCTTCCGCAAGCCGCTCCGGCCGAGTGCGCCAGCCATACCTCTCGCGAGCCCCTACGACAGGATAGGGCCTACGCGACGCACGACTTACCTACACCTTACGGGAGTTGTCACCTCCCTTCGGTGGGCGTATCCCCGCCGAGCTACCAGTCCACAGTACGAAAGCTAATCAGTTGCAATCGTAGAGGTGGACCAGCCGATGGCGTTTCTCCTTCGCTGTAGCATAGGGGGTACGCACAATAATACGCCTTTATCGAACCCGCACGCGGACCGACATCTTGGGGGGCTGAAGTCCCAAGCGAGGCTCGACGTCGGTCGACTAGGACGCATCCCACACACCACGCGCACACCGCTCTAACAACCGTAGGGCAACAACACACACACACACACACACGAAACGACACAACGCAAACAACGCGACAACGCTCCTAGCCCCTTAGTAGCCATCCCATAACTCTCCGATGCGAAAATCGGATAAGCGTCGCGCGCGAGACTTAGTATAAAACTGCGCGGACGCAGGGCTTACTCATATCGACTCGCGATGCAAACGTACGCAAGCAGTCGCAATGATGGCGTGCCATGTAGTACCCATACTCGCGCGGTCCTCGTTAATCTCGAGGGTCGCGTTCGACTCTCAAGTGCCGGTTGACACTCGCCTTGAGGGTTAATCTCTCGACGCTGGACAACCGCCATGCGCGGTTGAAGACCACACACCCTCTTTTGCACTCTATGCAGAGTGGGTGGTACACAGGTCCATACCTGTGGTGGAAGTCGTTTTTTACTGCCCTGGAGATGAGCCCCACTCTAGGCCTGGCCAAAGTCAAGGGGTTTGACTTTGACGGCTGCCACGGACTACAACGTCCAACTATAAAAATTAACAAGCAAAATCACCCGATAAATAAATAGGCATCCCAATATCCATATATCAATTCAGGACTCGAGATAACAATAAAAAAAAAAGGGAAAACATAAACCCATCAGGTATGCAGATCGTGCGACACATGGTTCTCATTCTCACTGCTTCCAAAGTGTGACCCAGATACCAAGCTCCAAAATACTAACCTGCATAAAACCCAGGCACACACAATAGCCACATTGCCATACACCAATGTGGTCAACTTTACTGTTCCCTGTAACTCACACCATGCCTCACATACTCAAGCCCCAGTCATAGCCAAAATCTACATAAATCTCACGATTTCTTTGTAATGGTCATTTAAAAAAAGTTCGGTTAAAACCCTCAAAGACACATATTAAATCACAGGGCTAAAACAATCAAGTTGAGGTATAAGCATAAGCAAAGTTGTGTCGTGAGCCGACAAGTCGACGATCAACCAACCGACCTGTTATCAGTGATAACAGAAAATGATCCTCGTAGGATCGAGCTGAAACTAGTCAAAATTCTGAGTCAAACAATCAAAAGGACCTGTAACACAAGATAGGTCAATGCCCCAGGCTAAAACCATAAGCCCCTGGAGAATAATCCCCATACCACAATCCCTCTCAGAGCCTCTCCCAATGGCTAAGCCTAAGCCTACCTCTAAACCAGCGCCCAAGGAAAGGTGGACTCGTGGCATAATCTCCCCTATCCAGGGTAGATTATCAAAATCGCAACCTGTCGAAATATAATTTAACTCCTTTAACTAAGAAAATTTTCGCAGCGCTTCCCGTAGGAAAAGTGTCTTTCCAGAATTTATTTAAGGCCAAATATGAAAGCAGAAAAGATCTTTAACTCTGGAAAGTCAAATTCTGTCTAATTCCCTGAATTAGTAAAAATTTGGGCAGCACTTCCTTTAGAAAGGGAGACTTCCTTAATTTACACTAAGTCAGATATGAACTCAAAAGACAACTAGAGTTCAACCTAGACAAGATTTAACTAACTCCTTAGTTTTGCAGAAATTTCGGCAGCACTTCCTTCAGAAAGGTGTTTTCTCAAAATTTATACAAGGCTAAGTCCAAAATTGGAAGTAACTTTGACTTCTCAAAGTCAAATTTTATCTAACTCCCTGAATTAGTAAAAATTTGGGCAGCACTCCCTTTAAAAAATGAGACTTTTCATATTTGTACTAGGTCAGATGTAAAGAAAAAACAAGTTGAACTTTGACAAGTCAAATATAGATTAACTCCTTGGATTTGTAGAAATTTCGGCAGCGCTTCCCGTAGAGAAAGTAGCTTGCCAAGATGTATACGAAGCCAAACACAAAAAAAATGATCCCAAAAAATGCGAGAATTTATCTAAGTTAAAAAAACTTAGCTCAGAAAATGCAGAAATTGAAACTAGCTCCTATAGCTCTAGTACGTGACGAGCGACTAAAGCAACTACCTATCAAACTGAAACTCAGACCAAGTAGTAACCTTATTCAACCACATGCAGGCCAAACCACAAAGGTAAGTACTCTTACCATCCCCAAGTCAGCCTAAACAAACAATAGTTCATGATCTCTCAATGATTTAACCCTTATACCCAGCTTACATAGGGCATACGTCAGGCCACCTGAACTTACAGAGTGCGCCCAACTTAGTCGGCCTAAAGTTAAAATACCTTATTTTATAGAGCGTTCTGACTCAGCCAAGTATACACGAACAAAAGTCACAACTACTTTTCTCTTCCTTTGGGCAAATGATTAGACCATTCTAGTCATCCTGAACAATTTAAGATATCCAAGTTATATATACCTCTATTCTGCTTTGTCTTCTAAGGCTGCATATAACTGAACTAACTTAAGTTCAGTCAGCCTCAGTTCACCACCAATTTTATTCTTAGTTATACTCTCTTCAGGTTGTGATAAGCTATAGTCAGACCACCTAAGCTTATAGAACAGTCTGATTAGCTCGTGCTTAAAATACAGTACTAGTAAAATATAGTCAAGTTATAACTATTGGGTTCCAGCTTGTGCGAGGCTTTGAGCCTGACCCCCTGAACTCGCAGAAGGATCTAATTCTCTGCCAATTTCATTTCTCTCTAAGCCATCATGTGTGCGGCACTAAGTCAAACCCACTGAACGTACAGAAGAGTCTGCCTCTTTGCCAAAGATGACTTCTTTAGAATAAAAGCAGGAAGAGACTAAGCCACCTGAACTTACAGAACAGCTCGGCCCCCTCGTTCAGAAACAAAAGAAACTCAGGAAAACCCAAAGAAACCAAGGCAACTCAGGACACCAAAACTTATTGAGCGCCCTGAGTCCCTGGAAATCAAGCGCAATCAACCCCTCACCAGTCAGAGCAGTCAGGTCACCTAAACTTATAGAGTGTTCTAATCCTCCATGCAATTCACAGTACCAAGTCTCCCCAAACTTATGGGGACTTCCCAGCCACCAGAGCAATCAGACCCCCTAATCTTATAGAAGGGTGTGACGCCCCACACAAAACCAAAAATAAACAAAACACTGAGTCTCCCCAAGCTTATGGGGACCTCCCAGCCTTAATGACCCAGTCAAATCTTTTGCAGATCATCCCTCCATCCTGCCTTTCCCACATGCGATTTCTTTCAACAATGTGCTTTCAGGCAGTCAACAAGACTGAAACTGAGATTGCGCACTCATTCCTTTACTTGATCTGATTCAGTGTGACAGTCCTGAAAGTCAGTCAAAGGTCAAAGTAGGGCTGCACACCATATATTCAGTCAAAAATGCAATGGGAAATAAAGATAGGGGTTATAACTGGGTTTATAGAGGGAGTCAGGGAATTACCGCTCAGTTCCCTACCTCCAGGACTCCTCCTGAGTCCCGGCAGGGCTCCCGCAATCGGTGGGTTGACTCCTCACAGAGTCTTGCTGCGGTCTTACGGGTTGCAATCCCGCCTGCCGCCTTCCTCTCAGATCAGGACTAGATTTGAGAGTAAGAAGGATAGAATGAGGGGTTTTAGACGCTCGACATACAGGAGAGGGACAAACTCAACTCTCAGGAGAGGGCCTCGTTATCTTCCATCGCCTGAGGGCCCCGCAATAATGGCCAATGCGCAGATAGACTCAAACTGCCACCAGATGACTCCCTGACGATTCTCCAATTAGCCGCAATAATCCCCGTCTTCAGAAGTTTAACCCCTGAAACTGTCTAATCACCTCCTTTAAGTACCGCAGTCCAATCCTTGACGAACACGCAGCTACGCAGCCCCGGACCGCTCCGTTCAAGTAGAGGCTCCCCTCTTCGTGCTCTTAGTCAACGTACTAGCAGGGTCAGCAAGAAGCTAGTGGAGTGTGGCATACACACCCATCACCCATCGTACGCGACGACTACGCGAAAACAAGTAGGATGCAGTAACAAGTCAACTATACACTGTCAGCCGCACGAATACCGCAATCATAGCTTTGTCTTTCAACAGTCGTACACTCACACCTCCACGCGGGAAAGAAGATATTGTCCACAGTCACCGTACCAATCGTAGCACCCACCTGACGGACCAAAACCAACAAGCACACAGACAAGAACAGCAGCAGCCTAATTGGCTGTGGTCTCGCATGCACCCGCAAAACACTGCCAACTACGACTGTCGTGGGTAATACTGCATGTACAACAACCATGCGTAGCTGCCATGCATCGCTCTTATGCCTAGTCCAATTACGACAGGTAAGTCCTCCCTTCCCCATGTTTCCTGCCGCTGTCACCCCTGTTGCCTTCTTTGCTGTCCTTATTTCCTGCATATCAGTGTACTTGGTCGCCAACCCGACCAGGTTCAACCCACGGCCTGCTGTACGGACGCTTCGAAGCAGGATTCTTGCGGCCACCAGGTACGTATGCTTCTTCCTCCCTCCCTCTATTCGTGCAAACCATAGTGAGCCCGGCGCTGGAGTATGAGCAGGCACATGCGCAGCTAGCCCACCGTCGTGGTCTGCTACTCGATACTACAGCCCGACCTTTGGTTCGACCCGCACCGCCTGCCTGATTTTCGAAGTAAGCTCTCTCTCTCTCTCCCTCTCTCTCTCATGCAGACACCCCTGCCCTTTAAAAGAAGAATGAATCTCCCGCTCTAACCCCACTGGATACATCGCGTTTCTCCTAGGCGGTGTCTGTAGCAAGTATAGCCAACTTGCTTCCATCTGCGCTTCTGAGCAACGCACTGGGCAAAAGGTAAGTCTCCACCGACGCGACTAGCCTCAGGCTGCCCGCTGTAGCGCCCATCCTACAGCAGACATCATTCGACCAGGTAGGTGCCCTTTCTCTCCCTGATCCTTCCAATCATCGCCTGCTGGTCTGCTGCTCTGCTCGCTCCCACACACTCCTCGGCTCTTCTCCAGTCATACGAAACGAGAATGAATCTCTCGCTAGAACGCCGAGAGATTCATCCACTAACTCGAAGCCATTTGCCCTTTCGCGCAGCCCTGACCTCGCTTACCAACTAACCCCGTATCCAACTACAAAATCTGACCTCGCCATCGCATTCGCAGCACCCCAAAGCTTCAATTTAACATCTTAGATCACCTAAATCGGTCAAGAAACGACCGTGTATTGCACTTTTGCACCTATCTTCTTCCTCCTCTTCCATACCTCCTCCTGCTAATCTACTACTAAAACTAACACTACCACTGAACTCGCCTTATTGAAAAACCCCCACTTCGTCTCCTCCTTTGCCTGTTTCCGCCAAGGAACGGGCAAGATCCGTATTTCTCATCTCCCTCCTCTTACGTTTCCCCACCCTCTCCACGCAACTCTCACCTCCGCTAACCTTCAACCCTCTTACTTTCTGCCCAAACTAACCTCCTAAACAGATTCGCCCGGGGTCAGAACCCCGGGAGAACCCTCTCACTCAATTGATTCCGTTAGGGATCCACGGAAACATGCGTTTCCCTCCAGCTTTCCGCCCCCTCCGGCTTCGACCATAGCCCCTGATTCGCATCTGCACCCGGTGCACTTTCCAGCCCGGGTTCATTCCCTTGCCCTCAGCACCTCACTCCGCCTGCCTGCTGCCTGCGCTCTCCTGCGTCGGTGCTCGCCTGCCCGCCATATTACCGCCCCCACTTCTACTGCGCAGCACCGACCGACAGTCGCAGTAGTGGCCTGTTCGTCGGCCTTCTCTCTCTCCGCCAGCCCCCGGCTCACTTCCTCGTCTGCACCTGGCACGGTTCGTGGGTTGGGTTCATCCTCCCTGCCTACCTACTCCGCGGCTGCCCATTGCCTCTCTTCCTGCTGCGCCTCGGCTATCTCCCTGCCATCTCCAACTCCCCGTTTTGCCCTCATGCACCTAGCTCGTTTCTGCGCCTACGTTCACTCGCACTTTTATTTCCATGCGCTTGCGCTCTGCCCGACTTTCCCCCTTCGCCCTTACCTCCTTCTCGTCACTACGTTCCGCCCCCTGCCTTCACCCATCACTCCCTCGCTCCGCACGCACCCGGCCCGCTTCTCATCCGGGTCCATCCATCTTCTTCGCCTTAGTGGCATCCTGCGGCCTCCCAATACCGGGCTGCGCAGCGCTGTCCGTCGCACCTCACCAGCCCGTCGCCCGAATCCTTCGTAGTGGCGGTCGGTCACACAACCGAGCGGTAGATCTGCCCGCTAGCTCTCGGCCGGTCTGTGGAAAACTACGGAGAGGACTCCGCCACCGGCTTGGCTGCTTGGCCTCTCACTCCTACGGCCTGGCCGACAAGCCGCGCACCCAGTTGGATTCGCTGCCTACCCTGTCTCAGCCTACGTCCACCCGAACCCGGCACACTCCGCCGTCTCGGTACATGCCTCCCTCTCTACTGCGCCGCCTCTCGTCCATGCGTTCGACTCAATTCGGCAGGCTGCCATTACCGCCTCCTCCGCACAACCTACCCCTATGGGGCACACTGCCCCCTCGGGTCCCCAGCGGCCAAGCTCTCTCTGCAGTAGCCGGCCGCGGGATCAAGGGCTCGTCCCACTGCAAAGCCTGGGCACGGCCCTGAAGGGATGGGTCCAGTGTGCCCCTCAGCGGCAATAGCAAAAGTCAAATATGGGCTTTGAAGCCCGAGGTGGACGGGAGTCCCTCGGGCATACTCTCACCTCCGCACAACCTACCCCTGTGGGGCACACTGCCCCCTCGGGTCCCCAGCGGCCAAGCTCTCTCTGCAGTAGCCGGCTGCGGAATCAAGGGCTCGTCCCACTGCAAAGCCTGGGCGCGGCCCTTGCGGGCTGGGTCCGGTATGCCCCTCAGCGGCAATAGCAAAAGTCAAATATGGGCTTTGAAGCCCGAGGTGGACGGGAGTTCCTCGGGCATACTCTCACCCAGTCTCTCTGCCGCGGGCTGCGGGGAGCGAACGACGTCCCTACAAAAAATCCTACCACCCAAATTCCTCCCGGCTCGGGGGCCAATCACCCGCTGACCCGCATGCACGTCGGGTGCCTTAGCCCTGCTTCTCACGGTAGGCCGGATAGAGGAACTTTGTCACCATCGCAACCCGCGGAAAACCCACCGGCCCCGACAAAAGGAGGCGCCCGCTCAAGATCCTCGACTACCGCGGTCATCATAGAGTCCGACGTCACGTCCAGATTATGCAAAATGCCAAATCTTACAAGAATTTTAATACAACACTTATCTAATATAAAACACAAGCAAACGTCGTGCGTCCCGCTGGCTCGCGATGTCGCGCACCCCTAGGCAGCGCACAGTTGCACCTCACCGTGAATACCCCTGCGCGCGTCTCTCACCCTAGCAGAAACCTATACCCCCGCTCACGCGCACGCCGTTAGGCGCTGTCAGGCGGGGGACACTGCCCTTGGGTGACTTGCAAAACCACGCCAAATACCCTGGTAAGGGTATTTGGTACGAAAGCGTCGCCACCGTTGCGCCTGGAACGGATGCGGGAAACGTCGAACGAACCGGCGCAGGTGAGACTGCCGCCGGGCAAGGAGGGAGCGGAGCACGTGGTGCACGTGGAGATGGCGCTGTTCCCGAGGGGACGGTGGTCGACGGGGGCGGTGGAATGGCGTCCTCAGGAAAACGAATCGGTGGCCATTGGAAAGAGGGATGACCTGGAGGAAGATCCTGCAACGCCTGCACGGCAGAAGCCAAATGCGCAAGACACTTCGACATATCCTTCGACCAAATCGCGTGCCACACTGCCGGAGTCGCCACGGGGCATCTGTAGCCCTCGCAACGAAAAAAATGTTCCTTCGCCTCGCGAGCACCCCCGTATATCGAACGACTGCATAACCTGCACATACAACGACGACCGTTCTTCCTCCCAACCGCAGTGGATCCATCTAAATAACGGCCACAAGCAACGAAATGCCAAACAGGATCATCTCGTTTTGCATCCACCTTTGGATCTGCCTTGAAAGGCGAGTCAAAGGTCTTCGTGTTGTGACCTTTTCTACTGCAGTCCGACCTCTTCCCTGTTGCCGAGGAGGACTCCACGGGGGCCTTCCCTGTGTTGCGTGCTGGGTCAGACATGTTGTGCAGACCGAAGAAAACCTAAAGATAGGTGAGCTGAAATGAACTCCGGCGCCAACGACTGAGAACTTCACTGAACAACCGATGAATCAACCTGGAAAAAAATAGAAGGCACAAGAAGGTACACAAGGTTCACAACAACCACAACGACAATTTCGACAAACAAGAGAAGGAACAAACATAAGATCCCTTTCTCCCCACAGCATCCCGTCGTTGTCGCACCTCCACAAGTGACACAACCCTTTCCCCCTAACAACCCCTAAGCATTGCCGCTCATGCCGGTCCACCCACAATTAAGAA